CCCAGGAATTTGAGACCAGCCTGGGCAACACAGCAAGACCTGCATCTCTACAAAACAATTTAAAAATTAGCCAGGCATTGTAGTGTGCGCCTGTAGTCCCAGCTACTCAGGAGACTAAGACAGGAGTATCACTTGAGCCCAGGAGATCAAGACCACAGTGAGCTATAATAGTGCCGCTGTACTCCAGCTTGGACGATAAGAGTGAGACTCTGAAACACACTGACAGCTGACAATGTTCAAATGTGTAGTTTTTCCATTTATAATCACAGCTGATTAAAGAACCATAGATAGCCTCTGATTCTTGACAACATAAATTCCCCTCACTGCAGACAACTGGACAATTGGGTCAGGGGAAGATCTTGTCATGGCGTCCGCTAAACACGCGATGAATGTAAATGTCAGCTGGATTCCAGAATTTGGGCAAGAAAGTATGTACTTGTACCCTCCTACAACTTTAGAACAGTTTTCAAGAGAACAGTAAAGAGAAGCAGAGGAAATTTTATCTGTTGGTTGGCCAACTTGGAGACTGGAAATTTCCCTCATTGACATATAACAGAAAAATAATCACCACCACAACATAACAGCTACCAAAAATTTTGGAGTACAAGGAAATAGGACACCATCTGAAGAGTCAAAGGAAAAGCGGGTATCTGAAAATGATTATAGGAAAATAAGAAAACTTTAGAAAATGTCTGTTTGTGATCTTAATAGGTGTGAGAACATATGGTATCTATCAAAGAGTGACCTATATGGTAAGGATGTAAGGAAACTAAAAATTTAACTGCAAAATTTAACATGCAATGAAGAAAGCAAAATTGCCTCTGGTGATAACCACATCAGTAATCTGTAAGATGAGTGAGTTTTTGTAGGGAACCTTAAACTCTCATGGATAGTTGGTGCTCATAGCTCAATTTCTTTTTTTTTTTTTCTGAGGCGGAGTCTCGCTCTGTTGCCCAGGCTGGAGTGCAGTGGCCGGATCTCGGCTCACTGCAAGCTCCGCCTCCTGGGCTCACGCCACTCTCCTGCCTCAGCCTCCTGAGTAGCTGGGACTACAGGCGCCCGCCACCATGCCCGGCTAATTTTTTTGTATTTTTGGTAGAGACAGGGTTTCACCGTGTTAGCCTGAATGGTCTGGATCTCCTGACCTCGTGATCCGCCCGCCTCAGCCTCCCAAAGTGCTGGGATTACAGGCGTGAGCCACCGTGCCCTGCCAGCTCAGATTTCTTAAAGCATAATTTGCTTACCTCCATTAGCCCTTACCTCACCGTGCTGCACTGTAACTGTATTTAGTGTGTCCCTGCCCCTAGACTGTGAGCTCCTTTAGGGAAGATCCACGACTTATCCAACTTTATCACTAGCGACTAGCATGATCTCCGACCAGTAAGTCCACATTAAGTGCTTCATGACATGTATGAAGTGAGACCTCACAGTCAGCATGGCTTTTCTTTTCTTTTTTTTTTCTAAAGAGACAAGGTCTTGGCCAGGCGCGGTGGCTCACGCCTGTAATTCCAGCACTTTGGGAGGCCGAGGCGGGCGGATCACGAGGTCAGGAGATTGAGATCATCCTGGCTAACACGGTAAAACCCAGTCTCTACTAAAAATACAAAAAATTAGCCAGGTGTGGTGGGACACACCTGTAATCCTAGCTACTCCGCAGGCTGAGGCAGGAGAATCGCCTGAACTCGGGAGGCGCAGGTAGCAGTGAGCTGAGAACGCGCCACTGCACTCCAGCCTGGGTGACAGAGCGAGACTCCAATCTGGAGGAAAAAAAAAAAAAAAAAAGAGACAGACAGGGTCTCACTATGTTGCCCAGGCTGGAGTGCAGTGTGGCTATATATAGGCACAATCCCACTAAGAATTAGCACAGGAGTTTGGATCTGTCCCATTTCTGACTTGCAGAAGTTTACTCCTCCTTAGGCAACCTGGGGTTCTTCCACTCCCAGGGGGTCATTATGTTGATGCTAAACGTTGGCAAAGCACACTACAGCCCAGAACTCCAGGGCCCAAGTGATCCTCCAACAGCATGGCCTTCTTGTTTTTTAAAAGCAGGATGCAAAAAAAACCCAGTCTGTCACCAAAGTACCATAGAACACAAGGCTAGAGTCTGCAGTGTAGGAATTGAGTTAATAGGTATGGGTTTAAAATTTTTTTTTTTTTTTTTTTTAACAAAAACAAGGCTAATATAGTAGAAGATGGTATCAAATAAAGTAAAAAGTAAGTAGTGAGACTATTAAATTGATTTAGAATTAAGTGAGGAAATATTACTTCTCTAGGGTCATCCTAGAAGTCAACAGAATAGTTAAGAATACTTACATTTTTCTTTTTTTTTTTTTTTCTTTTTGAGACAGGGTGTCAGTCTGTCACCCAGGCTCAAGTGATCGATCCTCCCGCCTCAGCCACCCAAGTAGCTGGATTTACAGGCACACACACCCGGCTAATTTTGCGTATTTTTTGTATTGACAGGGTTTCACGACGTTGCCCAGGCTGGTCTCCTACTCCTGGGCTCAAGCGATCCATCCGCCTCAGCCTCCCAAAGACCTGGGATTATAAGTGTGAGCCACTGCACTTGCCCTGTATTTCTTTCAACTGCCTTTTATCGAAAGATCAGTTTCCCTTTTCTTACTCTCATTTTTCCTCCCCTTTTCTTTCATTAAAAACAAAAACCTTCCCATATTTTAGATTTGCCAATTACTTTCACAGACATTACAGTGCTGTTTTAACAGATAAACTCTCAATTGCGGTGGCCTAAAAATAGAAGTTATCCCTCAGCAAACTCCAAAATGATTGGGGAAGGCTTTCATAGGCTTCCAGGGACCCAGGCTGTCTTCATTTTATGACCTTACCCGCCTCTAAGGCCTGGGAATCCTCTTCATTCAGCCAGAAAAACAGGGATGGAATGAACATTCAAACAGGGAGACTTTTATGGGCCAAGCCTGCAATGGAGCACATGCCTGCGGTCATACCCCATTAGCTAGCACTCAGTAACATGGCCACATGTAATTGCAAAGGGGAATGGGCAATGGAGTCTAACTGTGGCTGCAGGAGGAGAAAAATGGGTTTGGTGAATAGCTAGCTTGTCTCTGCCACTAACTGCAGATTATTTCAACAACAGATATGCATGATCTGGTGTACTACATGTAGGTAGCCCTTTCCTTACTTTCTCATGAAATCACTGCAACAACCTAATGGGATTGGAAATTAGTATGTCCAATTCAGAAACCTAAGGTCACACAGTTCCGAATGACAAACCAAGATTTAGTCCCTGTTCTGCTGCAAAACCTTCTGCATTATGCTGCATTTCTCCAAATAAAACACGGTGAAGTGAAATTATAGTCTGATAGCATTGTGATTACACTTAAAATATCATATAACTGCTACATCAATAGTGTCCATCCGTGGAGATGTTTTCCCAACTGGAGTGATGGACTTGTGCTGATTTACTGGAACTCGTGTCCCATTTTAGTATTTTATTTTTGAGATAGGGTCTCACTTTGTTGCCCAGGCTGTAGTGCAGTGGCACAATCACAGCTAACTGCAGCCTCTACCTTCCAGGCTCAAATGATCCTCCCACCTCAGCCTCCCCAGTAGCTGGGACCGCAGGCCCACGCCACCATGCCCAGCTACTTTTTGTAGAGAAGGGGTTTTGCCATGTTGCCCAGACTGGTCTTGAATCCCTGGACTCAAGCCATCTGCCTCCCTCAGCCTCCCAAAGTGCTGAGATAACAAGAGTGAACCACTGTGCCTGGCCTTTTTCTCATTTTAATGTATAGCATTATATATTGATGTATAGCTCCGACGAGATCATTGCAGTCCCCTATAGAGGAATGAATCAATATTTACTCTCATCACTCATGTCTCATTAGCACTGAGAAACACAAATAGGCATTTCTACTTCTAAAAGATACTTTAAAAATGTGGTTTCTTTCTGTTACTGAAGTTTCCTAAAAATCAAAAAGAAGAAAATAGTTTCATTTTATCTTTACAATCCTTTGAACACTAGAGATATCAATCAGATATATCCATTTACAAATGAATAATAGCTAGGTTACTCTGTGTAAGAAATATACGTATGTGTATATTCGTTTAATCCTCAGCATCACCTAATGAGTTAAGTGTTTTTGTTGCCAGTATTTTATTGCCGTGGCTATCAAAGCACATAGAGGTTAACCAACTTGAGTGAGGTAAGAGTTGCGCATTGAAGAAAATAAAACAGGTCAGGGTATTAGTGAAAGTCTCCAGCAATGTTCCCAGGGTTCATAGGTTCTATTTATTCTGCTCTGTATGCCATAGGTTATTCCTTATTTCTTAAAATATCTTTTCCTCAGGACTTTCATAACATCCCCTGTTCCTTTCTTGCAGCTTCATTGTATCTTTATTGTGTAGACACGTTGACTTGAGTATGTAAAACCTAACAGTGCCTATTGTTGCGCTAAAAAATGCCTTTCTATTAAAGCATAAGGCAAAAGCCTAACTTAGCTCTTTCTTTCCTAAAGTAAACTCACAATTTATAGAGAAACCCCCTAACCTCCTCTGAAACAAAAGGCATACACGCTACATAGGCATATATTTGAGACATTAAAGAAACATGAATTTCCATTTTAAAAAACGTTTAACTTATATCCTCTGTCAAATTTCTGGTGCCTACTACAAAACTGGAAAAAACTGTAAAAAAAAAAAATAGCTTTTGAAATATTAGTCATTTTAAGTGAGTCACGCCCTAAAAAGAATTTACTTGGGAGTCAAAGCTGTTGACCCTAACATCTCAGAAATAAAACTCCAATTTGTTCATCCATTTAACCTACCATGAGTTTGTGATTTGGCAGCTTGTGAAAAACAACAACAAAAAACCCACTGAAATGGAACTGGTCACTGGAAACTCTCTTTCTGGTCTGTACTATCTAAATGCCAGCTGTCATGTCAGACAAAAAGTAATTTGTAGAGCAGCTTTGTGGTCCACTGTATTATGCAGGAAAGACAATGTACTGGAAGAGCGAGGACTCAGTCATTTCGTGTCTACTACTGAGAAATTAAATTCTGTAGAGAACATGGGGCTAAATGAAGCTCAATGAAGATACGTTGGAAGAATCAATGAGGAGTTTACACAAGGGTAAAATAAAGAGTTCCAAGCGCTCTCATTGCTAACCGTACAGTCTCTATGGCTGTTGCAAGTGGTTTTGCAGGTCATCCAGGACTAACCTTTTCTTAGCCCGAACACATTTAAAGAGTGAAGGGGCAGCGCACTGTGAATGTTTCTCTCTGAACTTCCTTAAGTCAACTGGGCGGAGGCCCTACCCGTTCAGGCACCTGCAATTTCCGCCCTTCTCCTTCCCCTTCTTCCGGGCTACCATCCCCGCTCATCACCCGGCCTGTGGTCCACTCCCACCGCCAGCTGGAACCCTGGGGACTACGACGTCCCTCAAACCTTGCTTCTAGGAGACAAAAAGGTAATGATCGTCATGTGTTAAGTCACTGCAGTATGAGGTCTTCACGTGAAAGCTTTATTTGGGTAGGAAAACCTAGCCTACGAGAAACGGGTCCGTGCGGTCACGCCTGACTGCCTGTCTCCGGGTCAAGGCTGCCAGGACCAGCTCCAGCCCTCCGCCAGAGAAGGTTGTCCTTTCCCTTCGGAACTCTGGCTTCCCTAAAGCGGACGCGCCTCCTTCCAGGCCTCACCTCCCGCCGGCTCCGCCCGGCCCGGCCCATCTCGTCCCCACCTCGGCGCCCACCCATTGTCCCCTCGGGCAGTCACCGAGCGCAGATCCCGAGCTCTCGATTGGAACGCCTCCCCATCACTCAGCCACACTCAGGGGCTGGACGCCTCACTCCCGTTTCCGAGCCATAAAAGGTCTAGGGCCGCTTCCCCCAAGCCAGCAGGTAAAGCCGCGGCGGCTGGAGGGAGGCCGGGAGGGGCCGCGCGCCCGGGTCGGCCCCACCGGGCAAGGGGAGCGGCGGGGGGGGCGGGGGGGAGCGCACCACACACTACCCTCCCTTGCCGTGCGACCGCGCCCTGCCCCCGCCCCAGGGCCCCTGCACCGCAAGTCCTCATCACAATGCCGGAGCCGCCGAACCACCCTCGTCATCCTGCCCGGGGACGGCCCTGGGGCAGTTACTACCGCGAAGCACGGAGGGCGGGGCGGGCCGGGCCGGGCCTCGGGGAGAGGTGGGGGGATGTGAAAGGTCCCGGATGTTGCTGAACGGGAGCCCCTTCCAGAGGGAGTGACTGGGGCAAGCGCAGACGGCCTGAGCGAAAGCTAAGGTGGGGGTAGGGAGAGAGCGCCTTCCCACAGGCTGAGAGGAAGAGTGGACCGGCGGAGGCTGCAGGGGAGAGGGAGAGAGAGGGCGTCGGGGACCCAAGGGGAAGGCGAGGAGTGGGGGGGTTTGCGGGAAAAGAAAAAAAAGCTTCCTGCCTAGGTGCACTCGGGACAAGCGTAGAGGAGCTGGGAGCCGAGCGGGGTGGGAGAAGTGGCGGCTGCGGGCGAGGACGCACGCGCCTCCGCTCGCCCTCCAGCGCGGGCGGGCAAGACGCGCGCCGGGGAGCGGCGGTTGCGCGGGGCCCAGATCGCTGTGGGCACCAATCAACGGTTGCCATAGCAGCGTTTGACGTCATCGTGCGTGTGGTGCCCCTGCTGCCGGGGCTGGTGATTGGAGGAAACCCCGTGTCTGCGGAGCGGCTGTAGCCTGTGAGCAGCGAGATCCAGGGACAGAGTCTCAGCCTCGCCGCTGCTGCCGCCGCCGCCCAGAGACTGCTGAGCCCCTGTCCGTCCGCCGCCACCACCCACTCCGGACACAGGTGAGGAACCTGGCCGCCGCCGCGCCCCGGTCCTTCCTGTCCCAGGCTAGCCTTCCGAACGCGTGGGAGCCGTCCTCGCTCCGTCCCCTCATCCCCACTAGCCCCGCAGTGGCGGCGCCGGGCTGAGGCGGAGTCTCCTCAGCGGACACGGGCGGCGGCTCCTCTTCCGCTGAGCTCGGGCGGGCGGCTAGCGGCCGCCTCCGACTCCTTGCTTCCGCATCGACGCCCCGGCGCCGATCGGTGCTCGCTCCCCCGTCCTGCTCCCGGGGGTGGGGAGGGCGCCCACACGCGAGGTCCCCGGGGATCCCCCTGTCGCCGGCTCCCAAAGGTGGACGAGGCATGGCTGGGGCGCCGCCGGCCGCGATCCGTCCCCACCCTTGTCTCTGCGGGCTCCCACTCCCTCCCTCGTCGCCCTTCTCGCTTCCGCCCGAGATAATGACTCGGCGGCGGGCATCGCAGTGGCGCAGGTGAGGCCGCCCCCTCTTCTCTCCTTCGGCCGCCCCCTCCTTCCCCTCCCCCGCTCTCCCTCCCCCTCGCGCAGCCTCTGCGCTGGGCGCTGCGGCGGCGGGACCCGGCCCTCCCCCACCCCGGGAGACGGCGGCGCGGCGGGGAGGGGCCGGGGGCCTCGGGGATCCAGGAGCGAGGGAAAGGCCTGGTCGAGAGCGGGCCAGAGCCCAGGCCCGGCACGGCGGCGCCCGCCAGGTAGACCGGGGCGAGGCCACGCGCCGGCGCGAGGGGGAGCACACTGCGGGGTGAGGTTTTGGGGTGGGGCTCGCCTGGGACCTAGAGCTGAATTTCGTGGGCTCCGCGGTGGGAGGAAGGACTTGAATTTTCCTGGTGGGGGTGGGGGATGGGTCTGACTTTTTTTGCTCCTTTCGAACGGGCGGAGGAGGTGCGGACGGGGGCTGCGAGTCCAGGTGGGGGTAGAGAGCGGAGTGGGGAGCCCGCCGTCGGCTTCCGTGCGTGATGGACTAGAACTGGAGGTTCCCTGCGCTCGGTTTGGGGACGCATATCCTGCTTTGGGGGCGGGTGACCCTGAGCATAGCCGCTGGTGGCCCGCTCTGCTGGGTGTGGCTCTCGTCCCCTCCCCCACCTGCAGCTGTCGGTCCCTTAGAGACGCTGTACACGGGCGTCGGCGCTGATCGGTAGCGGGGAAGGCGCTGGGAGAGCGGGGTGTGTCCGTGGCGGGGCTGGTAGTGGTTCCGCTTCTGCGGGCGGCTGTGGCGTCTCTGCCCCGGGGTCGGGCGGCTTCGCTCCCCCGCCCCCCCCCCCGCGCCACGGCTTGGGCGGGGGCGCGGGCTGCTCCTCCCTCTGGCTCCGGTCGGAGGAGGGGGGAATTAACACTCTGCAGTAGGTTGGGCTCCCTGACACAGATCCGCCATGACAAAGGAGAGTCGGGGACTTGAGCGGAGCCTCCGACTTGGGCGGAGCCTGGAGGGGGGTGGTTGCGGATAAGTGGACCGGAGGATTTTCACTTTAAAGTCCGGGTCTGCCGGTTTTCTTTTCGCCGTAGTCGACGTCTCAAGTCAGGTAAGGGTTAAATGGGTGCGGTGAGTCCTGCCCGCAGTGTAGAGGCGAGGCCTTGGAGCACTCATTACTGTGTGAGAAACCTTATCCACTTCCTCTTGTACCGAAGTGATTGGGTAGAGAATCCTTTGTACTGGTTTAAATCATTTTTCATTAGAAGCAGAATTAACCAGAGACTGTTTCTGAGATCCTAAGGGAAAAATTAGTAATTTAGACACCTGAGGAAAATAATGCCGTCATAAAGGTTAAATAGTTTACGTATTGAGCCAGTATCTTGTATCCAAAGTGGCTAAATAATTTAAAATGTGGGGACCTGTTCTCATTTAGTTAAAAAAATACTGTGAGATTTCCCAGGGAAGGCAAAAGATGATTAATATTCGGGAGTCAGCTTCCAAGGTGAACTCTTCCGTTCACCTAATTTAAAAGTGCACTTCATTCAGGATGTATGTTTTTCTCTAAAGTCGTTTTTTTTTGGTGTGGTATCGCTGTGTGGATTAGTATCTTTGTGCTGTTTGCCAACTTGCCAAAGGATATCTTTCCAGAAAAATGTAGCTGAGGTAAATAGAAAAGGTCTAGGAAACTAAAACGCGAGGGAAAGAGAATCAGGTGGATAGTCATGGTGAAGAACAGCTTGAGTGATAACATCCAATTACAATATGACAGCTAGACGCAAAATGCAGCACTTCTACATTTCAACTGGGGCAATGACATTGGAAACACTTGTAAATCAAGTACTTCCAACGTGATATATTCTAGTACTCACGGTTAAGAGTTGAAGTGCCATGACTTGTGGATATTTTTAAAGCATGTGGACATATAACAAGATAAGGAGTTGAGGCATTAGGGTCAGATATTGATCCTTTGTGGTGGATTTATACTCAAAATATCTGAAAACAAACAGTTTGGTCGTTCCTCCCCCCAAATTGTTATGCTATTATTGGCTGGCAAATGTTGCAGAGATCTAGTAGGTTTGGGGTGGGGGTAACACTAAAACTAAAATTTAATCACTCCTGACGAAATTATGAAAGTAAAAAGACATGAGTTAAACTGACAAGAATTATGATTCTGGAAATATGATAGAAATCCAGATGTTCTCTGTAAACAATGCTTTTACTATGGAAGAAAAGCTGCTTAATTTCAGATCACTTAGTGGTATTGGAAATGAGTTGAGATTTTGGTCAAGTAAGATTAGGGGTAAGTTTTTGAGGCAGCTTTTGGAAGTAATTTTGACCTTACGTGAAATCTGTATCTTCTGAACAAATTTTAGTTTTGCTACACTGATGTGTTAACGGCTGAAAGTTTACCTCTGATGCTGAGTATGCTGAATTTTTTTTCCTTTTCTGAGTATCCTTTTGTGAAGCTGCATTTTAGTTCCTCATGTGAACAGTCTTCCACAGGCAGTTAGATTTCAGGTTTAAAAAACTCATTTACCACAGGTATAATTTTGAGTCTGTTTATTTTGATGGGAAAAATTTTAAATACTCCTTTTTTCCCCCCTGCAGAACATCCAGTCATGGATAAAAATGAGCTGGTTCAGAAGGCCAAACTGGCCGAGCAGGCTGAGCGATATGATGACATGGCAGCCTGCATGAAGTCTGTAACTGAGCAAGGAGCTGAATTATCCAATGAGGAGAGGAATCTTCTCTCAGTTGCTTATAAAAATGTTGTAGGAGCCCGTAGGTCATCTTGGAGGGTCGTCTCAAGTATTGAACAAAAGACGGAAGGTGCTGAGAAAAAACAGCAGATGGCTCGAGAATACAGAGAGAAAATTGAGACGGAGCTAAGAGATATCTGCAATGATGTACTGGTGAGAAAATTGAGTCTGGCTTCATTATACTGTAAGGTTCCTATGAGTATCAGTTACATTACTCTCAACGTTTTCCTCGGTTTATCTTTTCCTTCTAAACATTGTGTGTTCAAATTTAAAAGTCTTCATGGTGTCATAACTAAAAAGATGTTAAGACAATTATAGATAAGTGTATGTAAAGTAATTGTAATAATGATGAAACAGTTCAGTTTTTAAAATAACAGACTTTAGTATTGTGTATTAATTGAAAAGATTAATAGTATTACTGCTTTACTTATGGTTAGAACATTTGTGGTAGCTCTATAGCTGGTTATCTTAAATGTACATCTATGGATAAAGGAATTTTACATATTTTATGTAAGAGAGATGTAATAGGATACTGATTGTAGAAATAGTACTCTTCTCAGGATTAGCCGCTATACTGTTAATGTAACGAGTCAGCCATGCAGAAAACTCTGGCGTCACGACTCTGAAACCTCTTTCCTGCATTGAATTCTTGAAAATAAATTTTGAACACTCGCAACCATGATGAAAGGTTATGAATAACTCAAGCTTGATTTTTCCAGTTTGAATCGAGTATTTTAAGTATTCAGTACCTACTGTGTTGAAGCACTGCACTTAAAATGATTAAACTACATTTTGGTTAATTTTAATCTGTCATACAAAGTAGGGCTTTTTGATCAAGAATAGTTTAAATTTGAGGATAAACTAGTAGAAAATCCAAGCTGGCAGTTTTTGGAATAATACTTAAAGTGATTTTGCTAAATGGTTACACTTAACCAGTATGGCAGGACTCTGATGTACAGAGAGGGGCAGCAGCATCGCGATTTTTCTGGACAGGTTACTGAATGTGGGACTCAGTATGGAAATCCAGGTGTGTTACTTACTATATGAACCTTATTTATATGGAAGAAGTACTGTCATGAGCAATAGGATAATGTCTGATGTGGTTGTGGGTTTGGGGTTTTTGTTACAGTTGTGATGATGCTATCATTTCTTTACACTTGTATTTACTAATGGAATAGCATCAGTTCCTAAACTGTATTTTTCAATGATACTTGACACTGTCTTTTAAAATAATAGTGATTTTTTTAAACATGCTTATTTGGGTTCACAATCACAAACTCAATGAGACATCTGTCTTGGGGCTTTTTGTTGTTGTTGTTCTTATTGAAACCTTTACAATGATAGCTGTTATTTGTATCTAAGTTGAAAAAAAGAGTATCTTGCTTTTATTGAGGCCAAGTGACAAATACCTATCTTGTGATTTTGCTAAGGTAATAAGAATATTTAAATTTTGAAAATGTGATTTTTTTTCTATAATAAAAAATGCATTGGGTTTTTTTTTTTTTCCCTTGCTCTCCTTACTAATATCTGTGTAAGTGTAACTCAGTTTTGTTCAGTCTGGTGTTACACTTGATCAAAAAGTTTTTATTTGGGCTTCAAAGGATGTGTTACAAGTTAACATTTCCCTTAAGACAAAAGTCAATTTTAGGAATAAAAAGGAATGTGACATTTACCTTTTAATAACACGCTTATTTGCAATACCAGGTAGGTATGTGCATGTTTTCCATATACAAAGTATAAAAGTTCCTGTCATTGTGAGTCTTCTCCTGGGAAAAGACTTGTAGCAGGTTTGTTTTTTCGTGTTTCTTTTGAGACTGAGTTTTGCTCTTGTTGCCCAGGCTTGAGTGCAATGGCATGATCTTAGCTCACTGCAACCTCAGCCTCCCATGTTCAAGCAATTCTTCTGCCTAGTAGTTGGAATTACAGGGCATGCGCCACCACGCCCAGCTAATTTTTGTATTTTTAGTAGAGAGATGGTTTCACCTTGTCCGCCAGGCTGGTAACCAGGTCAGGTCTAACTCCCAACCTCAGGTGATCCACTCACCTCAGCCTCCCAAAGAGCTGGGATTACAGGGGTGAGCCACCACGTCTGGCCCAACTTGTAGCAGTTTTGACTATGCTTCCCTTTGGTTTCCTTATCAAGAAAAATTTTTTGCATAGAACCAGTAGATGAGGATGACAAGATAATCTCTTAATATTAATAGCTTCTTGTTGTTACGATTATTAAGGAGTTTGATTCTGGTCCCTACCCACATCGTTACCCTCTAGAATAGCACTGGCTTCTTAAAAAGTCTAAATGGTATTTACACTTTGAAAGTTTGGATGAATGAGAGTTTTCTTTACTATACAAGTGGGTTCGAAGAGAATTCTAAACAAGCTTTGGCTTCCAGCCTTAGTCTTTTTAAGAGTAAGACTTAGTGATCTTTGCATACTCAGAACGTGTAGTAGATGCTCAAATATTTGTTAAACAAGCAGAAAGGCTTCTTTTGAGAAAGGATAGAATTAGGTCAGCAGCACTGCAAAATTTCCCTGGCTTTTGCTTTTTCTGCTTGGGAAAATTTGATATTTACAGATAATAGGCTTCTTTTTCCTACCATCTATTTCAAATAGGTCACATCGACTCTGGAAACATTGCATAAAATTCCTTTTCCCCTTTTTAGTGAAATGGAAGAATAAAGTGTAGCAGAACTGGTATTTCTACTAGAGAAAGTTTTTGAATCATTGTTACTTAATGATTATTAAAAATATTTTAAATTATATTTTTGAGATCTTACATGTTAAAAAAATCAATTATAATTTTTTATTACTCCAGCCTTTTCTGGGCTTTGAGCTATATATATGTATATACACATATACATATATATATATTTTAATTTGAGAAAAATAAGCAGGTAATCCCTTTGCAGAATTAATGGTATTGGCTGGTGGCATTAGTGATAACCAGATTTTTTATATTGAGCACCTATTTTATAATAGCTATGAAAATATACTCTTCCTACAAAAAGCAGCTAATCTCCAACATTCTGAGTTTTTCTGAAGAACTTTTTAGTAACCCATTCTGGTTACATGTATTTATCAATTGTTTAACCATTTAATAAGCAAAGAGCTTGGACCATGTTGCTTATTACAAGAGTTAATAGAGCATTACCGTGGGAAGTGGTCACTGGCATGTTCTTCACAATGTGGACTTTTCATTATGTAAAAGAACTTCGGGTTCTTCTCTTCCACGTGTTAATTTGAAACTGCAATATGTGAACTAATGCAATCTGCCTTTCCTGCCAGATGCTTAGACAGAAACTCTCTTGGTAGTTGGGGAGGGACTCAACACTAGTACCTCTTTAAACCTGAAAGATGGCAGCCAAAAATTGGGTAGTTTTTATCTTGCACTTGATGAAATGAATACCAAGGAAATACAGTCTAGGAAGACTATTTCAAACTCAAAGAAGTATGTCGAGGTGAATAATGGAGCTCAAGATACTGAATCAAACTAGTTTCACCATTTAATAGATGCATGGCCTGAGGAAATCACTCAGTCCCTCTGAGAAAACTAAGCTCAATTAAATAGGAATAATTCTCATCCCCCAGGGTTGTGGGGAATGAGAGGTAAAGCACCTTGACTAACTTTTGTGTCCTGTTTTATCTTAGCTTTTCAGTTCTATTTAAAAGTGTGAGCCTGCCTGTAATAGTGCAGGGGTCTCTTAACTCATAGTCCATGAATGGAATTTAGAAGATGGACGAAGCCTTTAAGATTGTGTATTTTTCTGGGGCAGAAGGTCCATGCCAACCATCAGATTTTCAAAGATTTCATTTTAAAATTTAAAATCCACTGCTATAGACAAAGAATGACTTTTTAGGAAGTCTACGACAGGAAGCAGTGTAAAATTGTGTGTCTAACATTCATAACAGTTGGCAACTGCAGTTCAGTAATCTTAATAGTGATTCAGTTAATTTGACTGAGTTCTATTTTATTGCTGCTCTACGTTTTTATTTGCTCAGAGCAATTTTAAGTTGTGGTTATGGGGCACCGATTTTTATCTGCAGCCCACAGAACTACCATTAAACAGAAATAAGAAAGCAAGTAGTTTTTGGGTCCCTTGTAGTCTGAATATATTATTACATGCCTGGGCTTTAAAAACTGCTATGTAGTTTTTAAGATGAAAATCACTAGGCAGCTCATTGGAAAATAAGGCCTTCTCCAAAGAACTCTGTAGTGTTATATCTATTGTTACTATTTTATTTTATTAAGATATATGGTATATTTACATGTCTTCGTGGTTTTGGTATTTTTCGAAGTATAAAGAATTCAAGTTCTGTGGTCCCAGGAAGGAAGAAATAGGACAGTGTTTTTTTTGTTTTTTTTTTTTGAGACGGAGTCTCACTTTGTCGCCCAGTCTGGAGTGTAGTGGCGTGATCTCGGCTCACGGCAAGCTCCGCCTCCTGGGCTCACGCCATTCTCCTGCCTCAGCCTCCCGAGTAGCTGGGACTACAGGTGCCTGCCACCACACCTGCTAATTGTATTGTACTTTTAGTAGAGGCGGGGTTTCACCGTGTTAGCCAGGATGGTCTTGGTCTCCTGACCCTGTGATCCGCCCACCTCGGGCTCCCAAAGTGCTGGGATTACAGGCGTGAGCGACTGCACCTGGCCTGTACAGTGTGTTTGGTAATAAAGTTCATTTTTTTAAAATGTGAAGTGCCACACCCAGTGACATATTTGTACAAATACAAAAAGTCTGAGGTATATGAAGTGGAAATGATGAAAATAAAGGAAATGGAAAGGTAGAGAGGCCTTTGTTGTTTGATGGGAAGGGAAACTAGCTCTGCCTTTATAATACTGAATTAAATGTCATTGGACTTATGGATTAATTTCACAAATTTTTGATTCCAAAATAAGTTACTCTTGGCATATTTATATTGAAGTGTGTGTGAGAGAGAATTTTTAAGTCAAAATGATGGGTGTTCTGGTATCAAGTAAGTTTTAAAACTTAGCATACAGTTTATTGAAATTCTAATAAGTTTCTTAGAATTTTTTGTAGAATTCTGGTTCCCTATTGTGATTTCATCCTAGTTCCCATAGCTTTTGCTTTACTCTGACAGTTTTACACAGAGAATAAACACTGCTCAAGGTTTTAGGGGCCTTAGAACTGCTGTCACTT